ACCAAACAACTTGAAAAATAGTTGTAAAGAATCCTCCTAAGTTCAATGTGATAAAAATAATATAATAAATGTAAAAAATATTTTATAATTTTATAGTTAATAATTTTATGGTTTTCTAAAAAWTAATTACCGTTTAYATTTAAAATTAACTCCGACAGCAWCAATAATTAATAGAAAAATCTATTTTGTAAAATTTTATTTTTCAATAATACAAATGAAAATGKAGGTATTTTAGTTAWTAAATTCTACTAAAATACTTTTAAAAAGTATCCAAATAGTATTAAAAAAATTCCAAATAATAAAATACCATAAATAATTATTTTATCTTGATAGTTATGATTATTTTGCACACTAGTATCGTATTTTTATAATGTATATCATCGTTTATTATAATCTATGACATTATTTTATGTCAACCGTGATTAATCGTGATGTCAACATGAAAAATTACGAGTAATACTAAAACACAATATATATAAATACCTACATCATWATATTAAATAACTAGGCAGGCACTTCAATAAATTTACCGCCATAAACTCATAGTTATTTCAAAAATGTTACAATTGATTAATTATAATATTATTTATTATACATCATWATGTTTACTCTAATATTGCATGTATTTTTAGTGCGTTCATTCGACCTAAAGTTGGTAAACTACATGAAAATTCGTGTTTGGTAAGAAGATTTAGTATATATTATACTTATATTATTTATACATAAAACTTTCTAAAAAATATTTATTTTTTGGAATTTTGGTATAACAAATTGTGTTATGTTTTTCAACAACGCTGTTACAATAATTTTTAAATTGATTTTAGAGGTTTAATGTAAAAATTAAATGTATATTAGACACATAATGCATATATTATGCATTATTAAAGGTTAGTGATCAGGTCCGCTCCGTTTGTATTTTAGGGTCTCGTAAATTTTTATTTACTCTACGTGTACCTACTTAAGAAGCAGAATTCYTTAAAGTAGGCATTTATCAAAAGATTTAACTGTATGTAATTTTTAGGTGCAATTTTTCTTTACTGGGCTCTAGGCCGTTAATAATGGGGCTCCCTAAAAAATTGATCTATGAACTTTTGATGTGTCAGGCCGAAATTGCTAACAAACTCAATATACTTTATTTCATTGAACACGTATACCTTTATGAAGTTAAATACTATTAATACTCTTAAAAATATGCTTAGGATATGCCTAAGTAAACCTTTAATTCAAATCATTTAGTCTGAAATATTTCTTTACGGCATTATACATAAGACTAATTAATATAAACGTAAATACGATGTAAGTTATTAGGGAGTACCTATAATTACCTATACATATTATTCTCTGTAAATTTTATAAATATTTAAATTGTTTGATTTGTTTTAAATTTTGAAGTGCATTGGCTATATATGCATTATAATGCCATACATGATATTTAATTCTGAATATTAGTTAGTATTAGCATAGGTATCAAATATGTTGTACCAATTTTTCATATTATTTATAATAAACATATAATATTATGTTAATGTGATTGATATTAATATACTTATTTAAATCACCTTATAAATGTATGTTTTTTTTGTGCTGTCATACCATAAAGTTTTGTCAACACACAGCTGGACATCACGTAAGTTATTTTTATTAATCTATATTCAATATTGTCGTACAACTACTAGTTTATATTTCTTTTTTTTTAAATAATAGCTTTCATCAAATATTTGTTAAAGCTTAAATAATAAAAAATATATTTATATAGAATATTATGATATAACTGCTATGCCGCCTAAACCTAAAACTCGCCATTTATCAATTACCTACCAATTTAGTTTGAATTGTTGATAATTTAATATAATTAATATATTGTTTTCTTAGTAAAAAATGTTATTGCATATAATAATAGTTAATTGAATCAATAATTTTAAAATTATTGATCAATATATTATACTTATATGATGTTTAAAACTGCTGTTTGCCGTTTCTTATTATAATCTAGTAACACCTAATATTATTTAGCTATTACTTATTAAAATTGTTTCGATGACTTTAAGTACAAAAGAAAAATATATTTTACAGTAAAATTTAAATAAATAATTATGGTACCTATATCGTTTTATATGATAACAATTTTTCAAGTTGAATAAATTAATAAATATGTATATTATATTAAGGTACTAAAATTAATTATATTTCATACGTAAACTTTTTCTTTTTTATAGGTACATGAATTATTAAATATTTAAAAGAGAAATAGAAAGTATAATTATATAATATGTATTATTATATAATATACTCTAAAATAATAATTATACTTAGTATATTATTAYTTCCTAATTTCCTATATAAATAATAAAAAAAAAAAACATTAGATTCCTTTAGAAACACAAGTTTTTTAAAATGTAATAAATATCTAAATAACAGTAATAAAGCGGATAAATGGATGTCGCTCTGTTGAACAGTAGGTTACAAGTAGGTCACTGTAATGAATGGTATTTGATATTAAATTTGAATCCAATGAAATAATATCATTGTACTCAAAAATGATACTGAGAGTATAAAATTAATCATAATTATAGTCCAAATATTTAAAAAAATTAATTGTGCGTATCCATTATAGAAAATAAAGATGCTTGAATGTGATGTCGAAMAATTTCAAGTCTGTATGATTAATATTTTTTTGGATCGTATTGAAATAACTAAAATCATTATTTTCCATAGTGCCATTTTCTATAAGCTAATAGTAAAATTATTTTTATATGTTATTAAAATTTATTCTGTTATATCTTTCTTTTGTTTATCATAAGATTTTAAATTTTAGATTCTGAACGAAGTGATGAATGTATTGATTTTACAATGA